GCGCGCGCGGTGCTGCCCGGGGACAGCTGCGGCGAGGGGCAGAGCAGCTCTGCTCGCCGTGCTGGTGTTCGGTAGTATGTCCTCACCGCAGCCCGGGGGGGCCGGCACTGCTGCTGTCCCACCAGACAAAGACGAGCCCAGGGCCTAGCAAGTTGCTAACTTGCCGGGCCGCACGGCTGCGGCGCGTGCTGGGGGCCAGGTGTGGTGGGGGCACCTAGTGCAGGACGGAAGGTGAGTGCTGCACGGCGGCGGCCTCTGTCCCCACTGGCCGCTGCCCCGGCCATGCTGCCTTCCAGGTTGGAGTCAGCGGGCTGAGGACAGGTGGGAGGAGTGCAGGACAAAGCACACAGCTAGGGAGCACAGGGTGTGCTGGCGACAGAAAGGATCCTTCCAGGGACGAGGCCTGGAAGGCCGGGTGGAGACGTGGACTTCATCATGGGGCTGTGACTGAGCACTTGCAGGCGTGGGTTTGCTTTGCCGTGGCTCCTGAGGCCAGAACTGCTTCCCCGAGGACCATATAAGACACCCCCTCCTGCCTATCCAGGCCATGCCCAGGGCCCCCTCCCTCTTAAATAGGAAAGAAATGGCTATGCCTTAATGTCTCTGTAGCTTTTGTTAATAAATGAGCAGTTTTCAGAGGCCTGTTTTTTACAAAGTAAAAGTTGCAGTGACACAGGTGCAGTCTGAGAATGAAGATTTCTGTGGGTGACATGCTAGTTGGTGAAGATTTTGTCGACACAGGCTGGCCAGAGAGGAGTGGGAAGAGGCAGAAAAGATGGCTGTTGATGGCTGGTGGCCTTCCTCTGGACCAGCAGTAAGCTAGCCAGGTGAGGAGGCCCACCCAAAGAAGTTGAGATCCAGCTGAAGCCTGCATGGCCTTCACATCAGAGGGTGTCTGGTCCCGACTGCCTCCAGGCACATTCTCTCAGGCCCCATCCTAGGCAGTTATGTCCTCGCTCAAGCGCATTTCATTGCTACCTCCAGAGATGCCCACCAGTAACTCTCTGGATGATTTGTACTACTTGCTAGTTTGGTCATCGCTCAGCATCCACAGTTCCAGGGTACCAAGAGTCGAAGATGCTCAAGTGCCTCCCAAATAGAATGCCTCTGCTCCCCTGAACTCTTACGTCATCTTTTAATTAAGTGGTGCACAGAGATGCCATGTGAGTTGCATTTTACTCTCAAGCCTGTGGAGGATTCTTTCTACCACTTCATTGCCTTTTTCCTTCCATCAAGTTTTTTTCATTTGTGGTTGGTTGAATCCACAGATATAGATGGCCAGCTTCAGTCACTTTCTGTTTTATCTGTAGTCACCATGATTTGTGCAGGCATAATTTACAGGGTTGTATAAGGGGTCCTAGATCCTTAACCATTGACAGAGAGAATCGCCAGTCTCAAGGCCCAGCCTTTAAATGTGGGACATTGTCAGTTCCCCACCTAACCATCTGTCACTGTGTGCCAAGCATCCCCCGTAGTAAGGATGGCTCTGCCTCGGGGAATGCCACATCTCTGAGGACTTCGGCACATGTACAAGCCTCACTCCATAAGCAGACTCTGGATGTCACCTTGATCCTGGCTGCAGGTGCAAAAAGCTGACATTGTGGGAATGACACTTTTAGGGAACAAAATAAAATTCTTCTGGAGGATGGGGAATTTGCTGTTAGGTTTTTAGGTTTGTTTAAAAGGGATGTGGTAGACTTGGAAAAACATAATTGAGCTGCACTGTTTGATTGTGCTGTGCCAGTGCACAGCTGGTTCCTGCCACGTCACTGTCAGCGGGTAGATACCGTGTGACCATTAGAGAGGTGCCTTCTGGGCTTTATGAAGTCTACTGTAGTGTTTCTCCACTAAGATGTTCCAGCTGAGCTAAGCCACAGTCCCTTACAACAGCTGCATGGGCACTGAGCCGTGGTGGAATGCAGTACCACCTTCCAAGGGCTCACAGCACTGAGAACGTGATGGAACCAACCCCAGGCTGGTGCTGAGATTGGCATGTGCACTGAGACTGGAGGAGCAGGAGTGCTCCTCGGGTGGTAGATGAGGTCCCCGAAGGAGGGGACCTCATCTTGTGGGGCTGTGGCAGAAATATAGGAATCTCTGTCCCAGCCAGCACTCCATGCCTAGGGAATTGGGCATTCTGGAACACGGTGATGAACAATGCTGATGGCATCTTTGTTTCTGAAAGATTTCTCCGTGGACAATGGCAGCCACCATCCAGGCTATGGAGAGGAAGATTGAATCTCAAGCTGCGAGGTTGCTTTCCCTCGAAGGCCGGACAGGGATGGCTGAGAAGAAGCTGGCCGACTGTGAGAAGACGGCCGTGGAGTTCGGCAACCAGCTGGAGGGCAAGTGGGCCGTGCTGGGGACGCTGCTGCAGGAGTACGGGCTGCTGCAGCGGCGGCTGGAGAACATGGAGAACCTGCTCCGCAACAGGAACTTCTGGATCCTGCGGCTGCCCCCGGGCAGCAAGGGCGAGGTGCCCAAGGTCAGCATGGGCACCCTGGGGTGGGGGAGTGTGGAGCTGGGAGTGTGTGTGCGAGCGCATGTGGCACTTGTGTTCCAGGTGCCCGTGACCTTCGATGACGTGGCCGTGTATTTTTCTGAGCAGGAGTGGGGGAAGTTGGACGAGTGGCAGAAGGAGCTGTACAAGCACGTGATGAGGGGCAACTACGAGACGCTGGTCTCCCTGGGTAAGGTCGATGCTCACTCCTGCAAAGTAGAATTTGGTGTCCGAGGTGGACTCTGCTTGCTGGTTTCTCCTCTTAGGGACCTGTAAATACTGGGAACTTGGACCATGGCCACAGTTCTCTCTACCTCTACCAAAAAGGAGCCGGATGGCCAGGTTCTGAGCTCCCTCCACCAGTGGGTGAAATCGGTGTGCCCCCCCAAAGCGTGGAAGTTCTTGTTATTGAGAATTGGCTGGAGACGGCTCCTGCTGCTGTCATTTCCCTGCCTAATTCGTTCATTTTCTTCTTTAGAGCATTCAGAGCAGTTAGACAGACAATGTGTGGCTTAACGCGACTCCCCACCTACCAGTGGGTAACATGGCAGACTAGTTACTAGCACACATGTCTTCTTCATCCAGGGCTTTGCCTCCTCATACCAGGGGCTCCTGCCCTGCTCACTGGATATTGTCCAGGAAGAGCCTGCACTGTTTGTTCCTGGGCCAGTTCTCATGCTGCTTTCTATATGTGGCCCTAGGTCACAATGCATGCTTGGTGAGGAAAGAGGCTGGTGTAGGCATGAGGCCATATTTCAGTTTATAGAAAAATATTGTTTCTTGCTATAGAGATTTCACCAGTATTTTTTTCAACCACAGGATTAGTAACCTAGATACTCCTTGGATATTGGGGTTGTCCTGTGCATTGTAGGACTTTAGCAACAGCCTCTGCCCACTGGCCACTACCTTCTTACGGCAGCCGGCAGTGTCTCCAGACTTGTCCCCTGACGGTGATACATATCTACTGCTCTATACTAACCAAGTTTTGCTTTTGGGTCATTCTTGGGTTTTGGCCAACATCCCAGGCTTCCTGTCCTCAGCTCTGAATTGAATGTTGCAGCTGCTGACCTTTCTGTCTTCTCTCAGACTATGCTATCTCCAAGCCTGAGGTACTCTCCCAGATTGAACAAGGCAAAGAACCGTGCAGCTGGCGTCGCCCTGGCCCCAAGATTCCAGATGTTCCTGTGGATCCTAGTCCAGGTGAGGGGCTGGGAGGAGGGCAGGCAACTAACAGGCGGAAACAAGAGGCCAGGGCGTGTGGGCTGCTTCTTAGAGCCACGGAGCGTGCCACATAGGATTGTGTGAGTCTGAACATCTGTATAGTTGAGTTAGAACTGACGTTTGTTCAGCTAGCTCTCTAGCAACTAATAGTTTCTAGCATGAGAATGGACAGCAAACAGGCTCTTCTAGGAAAAAGATGAGTGAGGGGAACACCAGAGAGAAGAGGACATCAGAGACCAAATTTGATTTTATCCACAGTTTTGCACAAAGTCAGCCTTGTGTCCTCAACCAAGAAGCAATCTTCATTCAGGCCTACTGGTAGCTATGGGGGGAGCACTGGTGGCCTCGTGATAAGACCCTGAGCTGCAATTCCAAAGGCACATGGTTTGAATCCACCAGCTTTTCTCTGGGGAGAAATCCTTCTATACAGTTTACTGCCTCTGAAAACCCATTAAGGGGTCAACTGTGAGTCAGTTCTAACTTGAGAGCACACAACAAGTAGTAGTTACAGGAGCTCTGGTGGCCTACTGGTTCAGAGCTGTGCTGCCAACCTGAAGACGCGTGGTTCTAATCCACCAGCTGCTGCACTTGGAGAAGATAGACCATCTCCTAGGCAGTTTACAGCCTCTGAAAACCCACTGGAGAGTCAGCTATATGTATTAGTTCTGACTCAATAGTACATAACAACAACAGTAGTTAACAAGTTAGGGTGCCTAGGATTAAGGAGTCAAGCTGCCAATCCAAAGGGACACAGTTTGAATCCATCAACAGCTCCACAGGAGAAAGATGGGCAGTTTTCTCCTGGCCAAGTGAGAGCCTCTGAAAACCCTCTGGAGGGTCACCTATGGGTTGGTTCCCACTCAGTGACGTAGCACAGCAGAAGTAGTTATGGAGCATAAGTCATTCTTTGCCACATGTCCTAACTCTTTTTCTGAGGGTTTGTTGGCAGTGAATTCTCAGTTTGTGTTTGTATATGAGTTCATATGTATCTGGAAATCTCTGTTCTGTCCCTGAATTTAAAGATGTGATTCTAGGTTGCTATCTTCTCTTTGAAGATAATAGGCCCCTTGATTTTGACTTCTGTGATTGCTATAATGAGGGTGCTAAGTAATTGCTGTCCCTCTGCAAGTAATTTGTCTTTTCTCTCTGTTCTCCTGTGGATCTGTCTTTGGTTATCTGCAGCTTTACTCCTCTGTGCCTTGGCATGAACTTCTTTTCTCTATCCTGGTTTAATCACTGATTTTTTCCATCCATTTGTGTAGATTCACAATGCTGTTTCTTACTCCATCCTTTGTCTCTTCTGGAACTTCTTTCAGCCGTGTGTGGGGGCCTCTTCCAGCGTCCTTATCAAAACTCTCTGCTGAGTTTTGAGTGATTTATCCTGATCTCTCTTCTGCTTAGTTCACCATTTCTTCCCATTGTATGATTCTGCTTTTCATACCCACTGATTTAATGTTTTATTTCATTTTTTATTCCAAAGTTATATTTGAATCTTTTTTATAATCTTATTAACCAGTCATTTTTTATGTAGTGACTCTGTATATCCTTTGCATCTTTTTTTGATACTTCCTGCACCATTCAATTAAGATTTGTCCTTAATATTTTTCACTCTGCAACTTGAAGTTTTCTTCCTTTGTCTCAGTGTGAAAAATGCTGAGCATGCTCTTCCCTTTTAGTTTTCTAACTCCAAGTCTTTGTAGATTTCATCATCATACTTTGCTTTGTCTTCTTGGGTTACTCTTTGAAATAGTCAAGCAGAAATGGCTGGACTGACAGCTCTAGGACCCAAAGAGGCAACATTTCCAAGGGATCAAATTTAAGACAGAAGCAAAAGTGGGGCCCTGTCCTGCAGGAGACTCTGGCTTTGGCTTCATACTGAAGGAGAGGAAATAGCAAGTAAGGTCTTCTAGGAAGAGCCCAACATGGCAGGAACCACTGGACCAAGACTCCAGCCTTGGGGCATATTTACACTTTCATGAGGACAGCGTTTAACACAGCTTTCATATGATTGACGAGCTCACAAACCAGTCACCAAATCAATGAGAAAATTGGCCACCTCATATAAAGTGAGAAACCTCCCCCTTTATGTCTAGTACATAAAGACTTTGGTATAGAAATTGTAACATGTGGAATATAAAGTCTAATATATTTAGAGACTACTACTAATCAACTCTGTGAGAAACAAAAGTTTGAAGTTGTCAATGACTTCATCTTACTTGGATCCACAATCAGTATACTTTACTCTAGCAGACAGGAGATCAGGAGATGTACTACATTGGGAAAGTCTGCAGTCAGGGACCTCTCCAGATTACTAAGGAGTGATGGTGTCAGTTTGAGGCCTTAGGTGTCCTTGATTCAGGCCATGGTCTTTTAAGTCACCTGCTATGCCTCTGAGAGCTGGACATTGACTAAGGATTACAAAACTCGATGCCTTTGAATTGTGTTGGAAAATAGTTCTGAACCTCCCATGGACTGCTAAAAGAGCAGATAATATCTTAGAGTATAGCCAGAGTACTCCTTGGAGGCAGAGATGACAGTTTCATCTTGAATACCTTGAGCACGTTGTTAGGAGAGGGTATTTCTTGGAGAGGAACATCCTGCTTGTAAAGGTGGAGGGACAGGAGAAGAGAAGATGACTCTGAGCCGGATGGACTGATCAACACAGTGGCTGACACTTGTGCTGTCAGATATTGTGAGCATGGCCGCAGGATAGGACAGGGTTCAACTCTGTTGTCCATTGGTACGCTGTGGTATGTACTGAACTCAATGACACCTGTGAACACTTGCCTTATCTAGTCAGATGGGCAGTCTCTTCTCATGAATCTACAGCCCCTAAAACTCTGCTAAGTCAGTTATGAGTCAGTTCAGACTTGACCGCACGTACTACCACCACCCTCTGTTGAGCTCTGATGGTCAGGTGCATGCCTTGTGTGCTCTGATGTTAATGGACAGGTCAGTGGTTCGACTCCACCAATTGCTCCTTCCAGGGAGAGCAGAGCCTTCAATCCACCCACCCCTGCTGAAGCCCAGGCTTCTCGCTCCTCCACCCAGCTGGGCACATTCCGTGACCACGAGGCTCCTGGAGACGTCAAGGCACTGAAGGCAGATGATCTCCAGTACTGCTAGGCTTTCTCACAGCCTGTTTTCTTTCCTTTATTTATGGGTCATCCATGTTTTAGAAATACAAATTTTTATTACTGTTATTTCTGTGTGTACCATCTTAATGGATCTGACTGGTACAGGGGGAGATTGTCCCTCCTTCTCCAGCAGAACATCTGATGGATTTGAACCATGCACCTCTGGGGTTGCAGTGCAGCTTCCTGCTACTAGGCCACCAGAGCTCCCTGAAATACAAATGTTTTTACACTTTCATGGCATTTGCATCAACTCAGCAGTCTGAAAGCAGTGTCTGCATAACTAACTCACTGTAGACTTGAAATGAGAGCTCTGGATGCTGCCTCTGCGTCTGTTGAGAGGATTTATCTTTTCCTCCATTCATTTGTTAATTTCCCCCCCCCCCCTAAGTTCTGCTAGCTTTGTGAATTGTGAAACTGTGATGGAAACTTATCCTCGAGTTCTTGGGACAAACTCAACATGTTCTTAATATATTACCTTGTCTTTTTAAAAAATACTTTGCTAGATTTGATTGATACAGATTTCATTTAGATTCTTAACAAATAAATGAGATTATGATATAAAATTCTATTCTAAGTTGGAAGTTATTTTCTCAGCATTATGTCCTGAAAACCTAGCTGTTGAATGAAGTCACATCTCAGTCTTCATATTTACCCTTACTTCATTTCATGCAAATGTTGTCTAAGTGTATGTATCTTCAGTTCCTCCTTTAAATTACAAAAATCGCAGGAGGAGCCGTGGTGACATAGTGTTTGACCTGTCCTGCAGCCTGTGATGGACTGTTGACCAGTGGTCAGCGCACAGTGAGACTGCCGCTGGCATGCTTTGGGCATGTTACCAGGAAGGGCCAATATCTGGAATCTAGTTTTGAGCTCACTTAAACATGTGACTAGGACTTGGGTTCACTTCTGTCAGGACACTTGTGTTTAGATGGGGAGAAGGGGCTTGTCACTGGTAGCCTGTCAACTCCAACAAGCAGAGTTCAGCCTCGGCACACACATGTTCACTCCCTTCATCTGGTCATGTTCCCAGGACCACCGATCCTCAGGCTTTGCCCACAAGGCCGGCGGTCCGCACTTGCTACTACTGTCTTCTCTTTCTGCCAAGCCCTTCTGCAGTCTGACTCCCTGGGAGGCAGCTGTGCCCATTTCTTGCTGATGTGGATTCCTGTCGCGTTGTTCCTGCGACCTCGAGACATACTCTGCTTGTTCACACACACTCTCTTTCCCAGGCTCTGGTGCCCCAGTCCCTGCCCCAGACCTCCTAATGCAGATCAAGCAGGAGAGTGAACTCCAACTCCAGGAGCAACAGACTCTGGGAGTGGAGGCCTGGGCAACTGGGCAGCCAGACATCGGAGAAGAGCCCTGGGGGCTGAGCCAGCTTGATTCCGGAGCAGGAGACCTCTCCACTGATACCACCCCTGGTGAGTGACCAGGACCAGGAGCATGGGAATGGCAAAGGCAGGTGGACAATGGAGCACTGGCAGTGTCCTGGGCACTCTGAGCATCTGCCCACTGTGAGGTCCACATCCTGACCCTTGCCCAGTGTGTCTTGGGCATCATTCTACCATGAATTCCACATCCTTACCTGCTCCCAGCTGTGTCGTGGGCACTCCCTTTGAGCATCTGTCCACCGTGAGGTCCACATCCTGACCCGCGCCCAGCATGTTGTGGGCAAATATGTCGTGGGCACTCATTCCGAGCATCTGTCCACCATGAGGTCCACATCCTGACCCATGCCCAGCATGCCACAACCTGCCCACGTGACGAATCCTCCTATTTGGGCTCCTAGTGCTCCAGAGAAAAGAGTGAAGGGAGCTGGGTCCAGGGGAGGCCTGCCCATCTGGTGGTCTGCAGGCCATCTCAGAGCTTGCCTCTCTTCTGCTGTCCCCCTCCTTTCACCAAACCCACAAACTGGTCTCTTCCTTTCAGGTGTCCATTCCAGCTTCACCACCATCCCACCCACCTCATGGCAGACAGACCTCCCTCCCCACCACCCCTCCTCTGCCTGCTCGGACGGGGCTCTGAAGCTCAGCACCGCAGCCTCCACAGAAGGTACTTAGGACTCAGGGAGCTGCCCCAGGCACTGTCCCTTTCCCTGGTGACCTGTCCAGATCTGTCAGCCAGCCGACTCTGCACCTGTTCTTTGTCTCCTCTGACATGGTAATCAGTCTATCTGAGCCTGATTGCTTGAGAGCATGCACCAACCTCACATAGTTAGCTCCTCATGTGTGGAAAACGGAACCAATCTTTAGCCAGCTATCACTGCTGACAACAGGTCCAGAGGCCAGAGTGGACATGACACTAGCTGAGTGTTCTAGGCTCCCCTGTCCTACTTGAAAGGTTACTTTCACATGGAATGTCCTTGGCCATTACAATCAGACTCTACCTTAAAATGTCTGGATCCCTGAAAACAATATCAGGGTGTGAAATTCAAATCCATTTCTTTAGGATAGAGCACATGCTTTAGTGCCATGGGCTTGCTGCAGGCCCAACAAGGAGGGGCCCTCTGCACAGGCACCACAGAGGAGTGGGGTGGGGTTCCCCAAGCCCACAGCTGGGCAGAACAGCATGGTAGTCTTGAGTCCCAGGCCAGAACTAGAGTGGATTCACAAGAAACCCTAACAGCCAGGGTTCACAGGACCTGAAGTGCAGATTTCACTGCCACTTGTGCTAATAGTGCCAGGTTGACGGTCCCGAAGGTGGTGGGTTTGGTGGGTGTGGAAGGGACAGACAATACTTGGCTTTTCTGTCTTTCTCAGCAGATGTAAAAATCGTGATAAAAACAGAGGTCCAGGAAGAGGAGGTGGTACCCACACCCGTGCACCCTACTGACCTGGAAGCCCATGGCACCCTGTTTGGACCCAACCAGGCCACAAGGTTCTTCCCCAGCCCAGTACAGGAGGGCGCCTGGGAGAGCCAGGCTGGCTCATTCCCCAGCCAGGACCCGGTGCTGGGCCTGCGGGAGCCCAGTCGGCCAGAGCGTGACGTCCGAGAGCTCAGCCCTGCGGTGGCCCAGGAGGAGGCCCCAGCTGGAGACTGGCTCTTCGGTGGGGTCCGGTGGGGCTGGAACTTCAGGTGCAAACCTTCTGTGGGCCTGAACCCACGGGCAGGGCCCGAGGGGCTCCCCTACCCATCCCCGGAGAGTGGGGAGGCTGTCCTGGACCCCAGCCAGGTCCCCAGGCCCTTCAGTGAGCGCTGTAAGTATCAAGGCTGGACAAAGGGCTTTGGCCACAAGCAAGGGCTGAAGAAGCACCCGGCCACCCCTCCTGGGGGCAGGCCTTTCACCTGCTCCACATGTGGGAAGACTTTCCAGCTGCAGGTCAGCCTGGCGGCCCACCAGCGCAGCTGTGGGCTGCCGGAAGGGGCAGGAGCGGGCAGCGGCACGGTGGGCACCGCGGCAAACAGCACAGGTTCAGCGGCCAGTGGCTCACGAGGGGACGCAAGCGCATTGCGGTGTGGGGAGTGCGGTCGCTGCTTCACGCGCCCCGCGCACCTCATCCGACACCGCATGCTGCACACTGGCGAGCGGCCCTTCCCCTGCACGGAGTGCGAGAAGCGGTTCACCGAGCGCTCCAAGCTCATCGACCACTACCGGACGCACACGGGCGTGCGGCCCTTCGCCTGTACGGTGTGCGGCAAGAGCTTCATCCGCAAGGACCACCTGCGCAAACACCAGCGGAACCACACGGGGGCCAAGGGCCCTGTGCGAGGCCAGCCGCCCCCGCCCCTGCCAGCCGCACCCCTGGACCCCTTCAAGAGCCCTGGCTCCAAGGGCCCCAGCACTGTCACTGACCTGGTAACAGACTGGACGTGTGGCCTCGGTGTCCTGGGGCCCACCGATGGGAGTAGTCTGTGACACCCCAGCCAGCTGCGGGGGCCCCACAGATAACCACGGTCTGGAAAGGATGGCCCTTGTGTGGCCAGTGGAGGCAGAGATGCCAACGAGGAGAGAAACCGCCCTGCAGGATGGCTTCTGGAAGCAAAGCAGAGCTCTGATCTGGAACTGAGCGCAGCACCATTTTACATAATTTAATTATGGAACTTTGATTACTTAATTCTTGAAGAAATGGCTGGAAAATAGTAGTAGCACCGGTTTAAATTTCGCAGCATACTTTGGTTTTTGAAGCATGTCTTTGTGTCTACAGGGGCCTCACCTGGTCTCCCAGTGAGTAACGCATTGGGCTCATTAGCAGGTGACTGGTCAGAACCAGGGGCCACACTGGGCCAGCAGTGGGCTGTGTCAGGAAGTGTGGGCAGCTGGGTCCACTCAGCAGACGGGAGACTCCCAACATCTCTCCTCTGAGTGGAGCCTGGCCTGTTGCCCTGCCTCCCATCTGGCCTCAAACGTGCTGTCAGGTCTGGAGATGGGGTTCTGCAGCCGGGGCGTGCGTGGGCCCAGCATCCCCTGTCCCTGACAGAGCCCAGATAAGGCTCGTCCACACCAGCCAGGGCCTGTTTGGGCCCTTTGTGTCATATGTTCTGATCCCCATGGCTCTCCTTTGCACCTCCCTGGCTGTAGCAGGCAGAACGGGTGTGACTTGTGTCGAGGAAGAAATAAATTGTTCGAAGAGAATGCATCTCTGCCCCTCACTGGGTACAGGGTAGCTGCCAGGAGGTGATGAACCATGGTTTGAAAAGGCCCTTCCTGAGCATGTCTGAGGGAGAAGGGTTTAGGCGCTGCCCTCAGAGGGGCCCCACACCTAACTCACGCAGGTGAAGTCTTCAGATTTCTGGACATAACACCTCGGTGTGTGGGGGAGCTGGTTGTCCACAAGGACTTTCCAGAGGTGAGGGGAGGTCCTGCTTGTACCTGTGTCCAACAGTCTCTGGGTGAAGGGAGACACGCACCCAGACCTCGTGACCACATGAATATCTGTTCTTGTTTTGTTAAAGCAGCCACTGGTCCTCTTACCTGAAATGGATACCTTGGAGAGACCAGGAATTTCATTCATTCTGCAGCCTCAGCATACTTTATTAGGCAATAGACTAGTTAAGAAAATTGTTTCTTTGTACTGTATATTTTGTACCTGTTTACACTTCTAATATGATATAACTGATATTTTGAAAGGCAAATGAACACAAAACACCCTGTTAAAATAAAATCTAACCGGCACCAGGTGTGATGGTTTGTGTTCTTTGGGCCTTCACTTTGTTGCTGCTGCTTCTGATCGCACCCCAGGGGCGGCAGCCTGGTCAGCTTCCTCAGAACCAGGCTTCTGCACATGGTCACCTGTGACCCAGGTGGCTGTTCCTGAGAAGGTCAAGTGGGAGAACCAGGAAACCTTGATGTCATGAGGTTACACTGGCATTTGGAAGGAAGACCAGAACACACAGGGTCACTGTTTCAGAATATAGACATGTTTATGTGTAATAGAAGCAGTTTTGGGAAATAGAAGCAAATTTTCATGAAGATAGGCAAGTCTGGGGGGAAAACTGCGTACTTCCAAAGAACATCAGGTGGTTTCTCTGCTCCTTGCTGGGTCAGAAGCGATGGGAGAATTGTTGGTGCCTATGGTTAAGAGCCTTAGCGTGAAGCTGATTCCATCTGATGTCTGAGGGTTCTTGATTGCCTTCAAGTTGAGCATAACTCATAGTGACCCTATGAAAAATAGGCCTGAAGCCCCTCTACAACTATCGACATTTATCAATGTTCATTGAGTTTCTGGAGGCATGTTGTTTAGGAAGTGGATGCCACTCCTGCTTCCAAAACTGTCATACTATATTACTGCTGTTATGTGCCACTGAGTCTCCTGTGATGCATAGTAACGCTATGTACAGCTGTTCTGAATCCTTCCCTGTCCTGAGCCAATCTCACTAATTCTAACGCACCACCTCTCATCGCCCTAGTCACTGAATCAATCCGTCTCATCTGGAGTCTTCCTCTCCTGCATTGTCCACCTTTTTCCAAGCATGATGTCCGTCTCCAAGGACCGATCTCTCCTGGCTGCATACCCAAAGTGAGTGAGGTGGAGCTTCAAAATCCTACCCCCCCCCAAGAGAGACCTGTTTGTTTTCTTGGCAGTCACTTCTCCAGCGCCACAACTCGAAGGCATCTACTCTGTCATTCTTAGTCATTGTCCAACTCTCTGAAACATAACAAGTAATTGTGAACACCATGGTCTGAATTAGGTGCACCTTTGTCTCTAGACTGATGCCATTGCTCCTCAGCACTCTGGAGAGGTCCATGAAAGCAGATTTTCCCAATGCAATTCATCTTTTAATTTCCTGACTGCTGGTGTTAAGAGTGTTGATTGTGGAGCCGACCAAGCTGTAATTGTTAACAACCTCAATCTCTTCTCCATCTATTATGGTGCCGCCAGTTGGCTCAGTGGTGAGAATCTTTGTCTTCTTGATGTTGAGCTTCAATCCATACTGAAGACTACAGTTCTTGACCTTTTGCAGCCAGTGCTTCAGGTGGTCTTCAGTTTCAGCAAGCAAGGTTGTGCCATCTGCATATCATAGGTTGTTGATGCGTCTTCCTCCAATCTTGATACCATACTCTTCTTTATAAAGCACTGCTTCCCGAGTGATCTGTTCTGCATACAAATTGAAAAGGTACAGGGACAAGGATGCATCCCTGACACACTCCTGATTTTGAGCTATGCAGTGCTTCCTTGCTCTGTTCTGAAGACTGCTTCTTGGTCCAAGTAGAGGTTTCATATAAGCCTGATCAAGTGTTCTGAGATTCCCATTTTCCTCAAGGTTAGCCACAATTTATTGTGATGCACACAGTCAAATGCTTTTGTATAGTCAATGAAACATAGACATTATTCTGGTACTCTGCTTTTTGCCAAGATCCATCTGACATTGGCAATAAAGTCCTTAGTGCCACGACCTCTTCTAAACCCAGCCTGTATTTCTGGTAGTTCTCTGTCAACGTGCTGTTCGAGTCTTTTCTGGATAATTCTCAGCAGGATTTTCCTCGTGTGTGATATTAGTGATATTGTTTGATAATTTCCACACTCTATGAGGTCACCTTTTTTTGGAATGGGAATAAATAGGGTTCTCTTCCAGTCAGTTGGCCAAGTAGTTGTCCTCCAGATTTCTTGGCACAACTTGGTGAGCACATGCAAGGCAGCATCTGTTTGCTGAAATATGTCAATTGGTATTCCATCAATTGCTGGGGCTTTTTTTTTTTGCTTTTTTTTTAGCAAGTCCTTCAGAGCAGCCTGCATTTCCTCCTCCATCACCATTGTCTGTTGCTTAGATGTTGTTTCTTGAAATTCTTCTGTGTCAGTCAACTCTTTTTGGTACAATGACTCCTTCCATCTGCTTTTAATGCTGCTTGAATCATTCAGTATTCTGCCCATAGCATCCTTAAGCATTGCAACTCATGGCTTGAATTTATTCTTTAGTTCTTTCTGCATAAGAAATGCTGATCAAGTTTGGCCCTTTTGATTTTCTGACTCCAGCTCTTTGCACATTTCATTGTAATATTTTGCCTTGTCTTCCCAAGCAGCCCTTTGAAATCTATTCAGCTCCTGAACTTCTTTATTTCTTCCCTTTGCTTTGACTTCTAGGCGCTCTAGTACAATATTCAGTCTTATCGGACATCCACTTTGGTCTTTTCTTCTTCCTTCTTAGTAATGGCTTTTTGTGTTCTTCATGAACAATATTCTTGATATCTTCCCACAGCTTATCTGGTCTTGGTTCATTAGTGTTCAAGGCCTCAAACCTGTTCCTGAGTTGGTTTTTAAATTCATGGGAGATAGACTCAAGGTCACATTTTGATTCCTGTGGATATGATTCAACCTTCTTTAGTTTTAATTTGAACTTGCATATGAGCATTTGATGGTCTGTTCCACAGTCAGCACCTGGCCTAGTTTTTACTGCTGATATTGAACTTCTCCAACAGTTCCTTCCACAGATGTAATCCATCTGATTTCCTGTACATACCATCAGGTGCAATTTTCAGAGTCTCTTCTGACATCCATTTTGGTCTTCTCTTCCTCTTCTCTTTGCAGTGACTGTTTGCACTCTTCCTGGATGATACCCTTGATATCCTCCCACAACTCATCTGGTCTTTGCTCATTAGTGTTCAAGGCCTCAAACCTGTTCCTGAGCTGGTTCTGAAATTCAGGTGGGATAGATTCGAAGTCCTATTTTGGTTCCTGTGGACTTGGTTTAATTTTCCTCAGCTTAAGCTTGAACAGAGGGAAGAATTCAAGATACTAAAGGGTTGAATAGAAGATTTCAAAAGGCAGCACGAGATGACAAAGCAAAATATTACAATGAAATGTGCAATAAGTTGGAGTCAGAAAATCAAAAGGGCCGAACTCACTCAGCATTTCTTAAGCTCAAGGAACTGAAGAACAAATTCAAACCCCAAGTTGCTATAATTAAGAATGCTTTAGGAAGAATATTAAATGATCCAGGAAGTATTAAAAGAAGATGGAAAGGATATACTGAGTCACTGTATCGGAAAGAATTGGCAGACATAGAAGAATTTCATGAAACAACATATGAGCAAGAGCCTATGGTGATGAAAGAAGAAGTTCAAGCTGCTTTGAAGGAAATAGCAAAAAATAAGTCCCCAGGAATAGATGGTATACCAATTGACATATTTCAGCTAACAGATGTTGCCCTGGATGTGCTTACCAAGTTGTGCCAAAAAATCTGGAGAACAACCACTTGGCCAACTGACTGGAAGAGATCTATATTTG